GCTGTTCTCGCCGGCGTTTTTAAAGCCGTGAAAACAAGTGGCTGCCTGCTCTGCAGCAGTGATTTAGGGTCATGACTGGTAATTATGTTGTTACAGGAAGAAAAGAACTAGTTCTAAGAAATAGCTTTCTGTCGTGGAAATGAGCGGTGCCGCGGCCGGCTCTGGGCGGTGCTGCACTTGCGGTTTCCTGGTTTCCTGGTTTCTAATCTAGGAGCGCCCACGCCCTGAGGAAGCCCCACCTGCCTGCAGGTTCCTCGGATGCAGCCACACCTGTGCCTCGGGGCAGGTTGCAGCCAGGACAGAGGGGCAGCGGCAGGTGGCAGCGGGAGATGCAGGCGTGTTCACAGGGTACATGGGGAGGTACAGGCATGTTCACACGGACGGGGGAGATGCAGGCGTGTTCACAGGTGGCAGTGGGAGATGCAGGTGTGTTCACGCTGGACAGGGGGGATGCAGGCATGTACACAGGTGGCAGTGGGAGATGCAGGTGTGTTCACTCGGACAGGGGAGATGTTCACAGGGTCATGTTCACAGGGCACAGGGGAGATGCAGGCGTGCTCACAGGACAGGGGAGATGCAGGCGTGTTCACAGGGCACAGGGGAGATGCAGGCATGTTCACAGGGGACAGGGCATTCTAGGGGTTGGGGACAGGTGGGTGCAGCCCCGTGCCAGCCGCAGGGGCCTCAGCCTGGTGGGAGGCGGCTATGGAAGCCCAGGCACCGGCGGGGCTGAGCGGAGGGCAGTGCCTGGGCAGGTGAGGGCTGGGAAGCGTGAAGCCCTGACGCCCACCCCGCCTGCCACCAACCTCCCCAGTGGCCGAGTCCGGGCCAAGCCGGGTCCAGAGCCACAGGATGGAGCAGGTGGGGAAGGCCACGGAACGTCCCGCACGAGCGGGCAGTGGCCACGCCTGGTCCCACGGCCTCACGTGTGGTTGGCGCCCACCGGGGTCACGGCAGGGCCTCGCAGCTGTGGATGTGGATGGGGGGAAGGTTCCCGACCGCGGGGCCTTGGCACGTGGACACGTCACAGGCCCGGCATTTCCCATGTTTCCTTTGCGCTGAGGCTGCGACACAAATGCACACGGTCCTTCCCTGTGGCCAGGGAGGCGCCGGCTCCAGGTGCAGACCCGAAGCCCAGACCTGCGCCTTCAGCTCTGATGAGCAGAGTGACCCGTCTGTCCGGCGGGAGGAGCTCGAGCCGGTCCCCTGCGAATGTGGCGCCCGCAGGGGCCTGGTGAGGGCTGGGCAGGCCCCTCCTGCCCCCCCCCACCGCCTGCCCCACCGCCCTCTGGCCCCGTTCCGGTGGCCCCACCTCCTCCCGAGAGTCCCTCCGCCCGGGCCAGCGGCTTCCGGAGGCTTCCGTGGGTGCAGTGAGGCCTCCTTGCCTTTGGGTGTAAATCGGGTTGCTGGAATGCAGTTTACGTGGCTGAAGTCACCTTTGTTGGTCCACCTCAGAGCGTGCTGGGTCTTAGCCGGTGTATACAGTTGTGCCTACAGAGCGCGCCGGGTCTTAGCCGGTGTATACGGCTGTGCCGACAGAGCGTGCTGGGTCTTAGCCGGTGTATACAGTTGTGCCGACAGAGCGCACCGGGTCTTAGCCGGTGTATACAGTTGTGCCTACAGAGCGCGCCGGGTCTTAGCCGGTGTATACAGTTGTGCCTACAGAGCGCGCCGGGTCTTAGCCGGTGTATACAGTTGTGCCGAC